CATGTGCATCCCTCCTGGAACACACTGGGGGCTGCTGGTACTCCCAGGGTCCCCCCCGTGTGCCCCCCGGAACAGCTGTGTCGTGGCTCTGGAGAGCCAGGTGTCCCGTGTGGAGTGTTAGGGAAAGCCTTTCGTAGAAGGAAGCCCCAGCTTCCCTTCCTGGGGTTCCCGCGGCAGAACCGCACGCAGTCAGGAAGCTGGAGTGTGGGGGCCGGCGATGCGGCGGCTGTCTCCAGCGCGGCGCAGACAGGGTTTAGCATTGGCTGGTGGTTCAGCCTTAGTCACAAACACTGGCGGCTTGTACCCTCGTGCGGAGCGGGAAGCTTTCCTCACACCCGTGGACGGGGCCGGGTTCCCTGCCCTTGCGGCCGCAGTCTGAGACGTGCCGTGTGGGGGGGCGCGCAGACCGCAGCCGCGACCGGGGACGCCTGGGTGGCTTTTGGTAATAGATTGGCTTGTGTGTGAACTTTGTGATTCGCATGAGCCGGGGACGTCAAACCTGGCTTTATGTCTCTGTGTATCTTGTCAGGTGGTTTAAGGGGAACACGTAATTGAAAACGCTTGAGACTCCCGTGAGCTCCCCAGTCATTCTGTAACTTGAGGTTTCCGTACGACCTCTCACCCTCTGCCTGCCGCCGTGTAGTGCCTGGGTGCCTGGTGGCCCGGTGCCGGGGTAGACAGGACTGGGGACAGGATGGGGGCAGGGGAGACAGGACGGGGGACAGGATGCGGGAGTGATGCAGACGGGGGAGACAGGACCGGGGACTGGATGGGGATGGGGGAGACAGGACGGGGGAGTGGATGGGGACAGGGGAGACAGGACAGGGGACTGGATGGGGATGGGGGAGACAGGACGGGGGAGTGGATGGAGGTGCTGGACGCGGGGGCCAGGGCCGCAGGCCGGAGGCCGGACCTGCACTCACTGGCTGGCCCCCTACATGCTTGCATCTGGGTCACTGACATTTGCCACATGAAACACTTGTGTGGTCCCTGCTCGTGAGGAGTTAGCGCCCTGGTACAGCGTAAGGACAAAAAAATCACACAGAATCAAACAGGGCTGTTTTGAGGGTGAGAAAAAGACCTGCTCTTGCCGATTCTGTACCTGGAGTTTCTTTCGGATCCCATGTTAGCATTCACACAGCTTCTGAATGTGTATCTGGCTGCGTCTTCCAGGTTTGGAAATTCTGTGTTCAGGCGGTTTGTGCTGAACGTTTGTTCCTTGTTTCTGAGGAACATGTGTTTGGGGTCTCTGAGACGGTGAAAGTGGAATCAGCCACGGGCTGATGTCCTCTCACCCAGCAGGAAGCTGGATGCTTGGTGGTTTCTCTGAGGTGGTTCCCTAGGGCGTTTGCCGGATTGGCAGATGCTCCGAAAATCATGGTGACTTGCCCTCAGGGGGCCTGGCTCCTGGCAGAACCGGTTCTGAGAGTCTGATTGTTTTAGGACGACCCCCGTTTCACCAGCACCGCTGTTGGCGAGAGAAATTCTATGAATTCCTTCAGCAGGGAAAGTGTTTCATGTTACAGGAGATGTGCTTCAGCGGTGTTCTGCGGGCGTGCGTGTGTGTCTGGGGTTGCGGGAGTGTTCTCTAAGGTGGGGGGGTGGATCACACGGGGCTTCTTGTAGGGGAGCGTTGCCTGGGGGGGCGTATTTCCGCCTTATTCAGCCCAGGACATCTAAGTGTGGATCTGGACAGGGCCCTGGGCAGGTCAGCACATGTCGGTGGTGGCCTGGGGCCATGAGCGTGGTGGGGACCCTGATGACTAGGAGGAAGATGGGGGTGTCCTGTACGGTGATTGGAGGGGATGGGAGGCTGGGGGAGGGGTGGAGGAAATGGGGTTGGGGAAGGGTGGGGGATGGGGGTGTGGGAAGGAGGTGGAGGATGCAGGAAGGGAAAACGAGACTGGGGAGAGATGGGGCCTGGGCACCTGTGGGGGTGGGGGTGGGAGGGAGTGAGATTAAGGGACACATGAGCAGGTATAGGATGGGGAAGGGGGAAATGACATTCAAGGAGAGATGGGGCCGTGGGGGTGGAGGACGAGACGAGGACATGATATTGGGGAAGAGATGGGGAATGAGGGTGTGGGGAGGTGGAGGGTTGGGAAATGAGATTCAGAGCAACATGGGCATACGGGGATGGGGGAGGGGATGGGGAAATGAGGTAGAGGATGGGGGAGGGGGATGGGGAAATGAGGTTGGGGAGGGATGGGGTGGAGACAGTTGGGGGTTGGAGGGGCAGATGGTGTAGAATGTGCCTTGCACGTGGCTATCTGGCTAGCTGCGCGTGTCCCCTGCACTCGGGGTCAGAGGAGTGTCTGGACTGTGGCTGTGGGTCTGCCGGCCATGGGCTCACTGTGCTGCTCACCGCATGGACACTCCTGCCTGCCCTCCCAGGGGCTCCAGGGCCTTGCACACATGCCGAGTGGCACAGGGACTCCCGGCAGCTTGGCTGCGTTGTCCCTGAGTCAGGGACCCCCCCGGCCCAGCATGGCTGCTCTGCTGCCTGCCCCTGTCTCAGCGGGGACCCCAGCCTCCCCCTTTCCCCTGGTGGTGAAGCTCTCTCCCCTCACTCCAGCGTGTACACTCGAGGGTGCCCCGGGCCCCCCCGTCCTGTGCTGTGTCACTGCCCTGGTCCTGTTCTGCCCATCCTGTCCAGCCTCCCTGGGGGGTCCTCTGCGTGGACGGACAGGCCCTCAGAACGGTCATGTGTGGACTGCAGTGACGCCATCTCCTGGTGACTCTCCTGGGCCATGAGCTGACCTCTTCTGGAGACAGCGTGGCCTGTGGCTCAGGCCGTGCCGGACACTGAGCAGGGCCTTAGTCTGAAGGCGGTCACGGGGCCAGGGAGGGGTCGCACCCTCGACGCACACTCTCAGGGTCCCAGGAGGTTGATGTGACCCCTACCCCATGTCTGTGAGGCTGTGGACGCGGTGTCCCTGTTCATGGTACTTCCTGGCCAGCATGGAGTGGTGGCACGACGCCCTCCACGTTTCCAGCCCTGTCTTCTAGGCTTTGTGGAGACCAGACCGTCCGTGCCCATTCTGCCTGTGGGCGCGGAGCTGAACGGATGTCCTGGGAGCTGGTGGGCATTGGACACAGGCCTCGTCCTAACGCACTGCCTGGCCAGCGCCGCCTGGCTCCGTGTCCTCTGAGTTTGCTGTCCGGCCCCCATGCGCACCTGACACGCGGACACCCAGACCCTTCTGATGTGGAAAGGGCGTCTGCACGAGCCTGCGTGGAGGTGGACCTAGGCAGTGGTCATTTCGTCATTTTGACTCCTCTGTGTTAACCTCTGATCCCGGGACTCCTGTGTGTGTCCAGTATGTCCTCTGCAGGTCTCAGTACTGAGCCTCTGCCGTGTGGCGGGAAGTGGTCCACGGAAGCAGAGAGTTCGCGGCCTGCAGGGCCCTCCTCTCCTGGCCACGGCGTCTCAGTGCGTGCAAACTCAGTCTCGTGGCCTGCAGGGCCCTCCTCTCCTGGCCATAAGTGCGTGCAGGCTCCCTGGGAATTCCCCACCGGGCTCCCCAGTCCTGTCCCGGGTAGCAGCAGGCATCTGTGTCTCAGGTCATGGCCAGCCCTGGGGTCCTGTGAGCTGAGCCGCCCGTGCCCGGGGTGCCTCTTCCTGGCCTGCTTTTGTCCCGACTCCTGGCTTTTACTGTGCGTCTTGGGCCGGTGCTCTGGGCGAGGGTCACTTTCGACGTCCCAGCTGAGGGCTGGGACCTGTGACTGTGACCTGTGACCACCGAGCCCAGTGCTCAGAGCAGGAATGGCAGCAGAAACGCAGCCTGGATTGCTTCTGCGGGCACCCACCCCGGGAGGCAGCAGTGGCTTCGGCGGGACCTTGTGTCCAGCCCCACGTGGACAGGACGGCCCCGCTGTGCGTGTGCTGGGCAGCCGGCGGCGTCCTCTTGCTTTGTGGCCTTATGAGGAGTCACTGCTCTCTCCAGAAATAGCTCTCCGTGGGGAGGTGTCATCTTTATCAGGGAGCTCTGGGCTGCATGCCGCCCGAGGCTTGCACTCACCGCGCGTCCAGGAGGACTGAAGGCGCGGTGCCCAGGAAGCCGGGTGCCCAGGCCTCGACTCTGAGTCCCGAGCCCCACTGTGGAGTTCTCGCACACTCGCACGTGTCTTTGTTGCTTTCGCGTTTGTAACGGATATCGGGCCGCATCTCCTGGAGGTCAGGGAACGGCCCCTGCGTTTGCTGCGGAATCTGCTGAGGCCTGCTCTGTCGACCGGGAGGTGGCCGGCTCCCAACGGCGCCCCGTGTGCCGGACAAGAATGCGCGTCCTGCAGCTGTGCTCGGGCCACGGGCTATTTATGTCCGGGAGATTAAACCCGTAAATCTTCCGTGTCCACACCAGGCTGTTTCGTGTCTCATTGTGCCGTACACTTGTCATCCGTGCCCGGGGAGGGGAAGCTCAGCCTCCTTCCTTGCGGCACATCAGTCTGTCCCCAGCAGCGTTTCTGCCCTGGGGGCTAAGCCTGCAGGCTCT